AACGGATTGCATGGAGCACTGGGTGTGGTGCAAAAACAATGAATACTGTTACGCTAAAAAGAAATTAAAAAAAAAAAAAAAAAACAGAAAAAAAAACCAGACTCAGGTCAGTCTGAGACAGACTGACAGACAGACTGAGACAGACTTAGCTCATGGGTTATAGTTTGCCAACTCCTGTTCAGAGGAAACTTTCTGAGTAGTGCCTAGTCTTGTTTGGTAATCTGTATATATCCTGGTCTCTGCAAATGGTGCTCCCTAGAGTTGTGTAGTATACAATCTCACAACTTTCACAACCTTATGCAGCTGTTAACTCCCGCATTGTTCAAGCCTCAGCTGGGATTCCTATAGTTCATGGTTCCTTCCTTCCTCACCCTGTGTGTCAGGATTCTGGGGGGCACAGAGAAGTCCTAATACCCAGAAGATGGGTAGGCTGAGTGTGGCCACAGGGTGAAGAGCCTTTGCTTTTAATCTGGTAGAAAGCCAGCGGAGAGTTTTTTTGGGGGTGGGGGGGTAAAGCAGTGACATAATTTAATATGAAATGTTTTTTAGGAAGATTAATCTGGTAGTGGTTAGAAGGGATTGAGTAGGGAGATGTGGAGCACAAAGAATAGCAGCTAGGAGTCAGGTACAGTAATGCACAGGTGAGAAATGAGGGCTTCACTTAGAAGGGTAGCATGGGAAATGGACATGAGTGGTTAGATATGAAGAACATGGTTAAGATTGGGATCCGTGACATGAAAGGAGGTGATATTACAAAGACAATTACCAGGTTTCAAGTCTAAATAAATAAGGAACATATTGCATTTCATATAGCATTTTTCTGCCTACTCTCTTCTGCTCCAGAAATAGTGGGCTTCTCTCACTCCTGTCTATATCATAGCCTCTTCCTCTAGGTCAGGAACTCCTATTCTCTATCCCCTGGTACCTACTCAAACTCCCCCATCCTTCTCTAGCTAACACCCACTCAGCTTTCTGTCTCCAAGCATTACCCTGAACCCAAGCCTAGGTTGGATCCATTCCCCTGTTAATGTGGTTGATCCTATCGCATATGGTATTTCCTAAATCACCCACTCTGCTTCTAATTTTAAGTATATTTTTTTCACCATCAATGTTTTTATTCCATAGTCAAAATGATCACCGACTTCATTATTCTTATTTCAACAATTATTCCTGATCAACATCTCTTCTAAAAATTCTTAAAAAACCACCCCAACATTAGAGTCTATATAATTTTTATGTACATACATATACATATGTATATGACTTATATACATATATATTACTTATATATATATGTATATATGCATGTATGTATATTATTTGTATACATATGATATATATAGTGTGTATATATACCATATATGTATATAATACACATATATCATACCTGTATAGAGTGTTCACTATCTATACTCCTATAGTATTTGCAAAACATTTCTTTTTAATTTACTTTATTATTTTATTTTTTATTTCTAAAAATTGAAGTATAATTAACATAGTGTTTTATTAGTTTAGTTTACAATGCAATGACTCAACAATTCTATACATTTCTCAGTGCTCATCAAGAGAAGTATCCTCTTAATCCCCATTATTTCACCCGTATCTCTAACTACCTCCCTTCTGGCAACCAACAGTTTATTCTCTGTATTTAAGATTCTGGTTTTGGGGCGCCTGGATGGCTAAGTGGGTTGAGCCTCTGCCTTCAGCTCAGGTCATGATCTCAGGGTCCTGGGATCGAGTCCCGTATCGGGCTCTCTGCTTGGCAGGGAGCCTGCTTTCTCCTCTCTCTCTCTGCCTGCCTATCTACCTACTTGTGATCTCTCTCTGTCAAATAAATAAATAAAATCTTAAAAAAAAAAAGATTCTGGTTTTGTTTGTTTGTTTTAAATTCCACACGTGAGTGAAAAACAAACAAACAAAAATTCCACATGTGAGGAAATCCTGTGGTATTTGTCTTTCTCTAACTGACTTATTTCACTTAACATAATATCCTCTAAGTCACTCCATGAGGGCAGGTACCATGTTTGTTCTTTCTCAGGGGATACATCCTCAGTCCTAAAAGAATGTCTGACAATAGCAGTGCTAATAAATGGTTATTTTAATGCTCAACTGATTCACTGACTGACTTCATTGAAATAAGAAAAGAAGGAAGTGCTGGTTTTGAAGCAAATATGCTATGCTTGCTTCTAAACATGTTGAGTATAAGATGATAATGAGACATTCCAGAACAGAAGCTCTTTGGTCATTTGGAGCCACAGGATTAGAACTCTCATTCACAACTAATTATTTGTTCAATTGTGTACATATGATGGGGGAAAAAATGGATGCTTATCTTACATTGATAATAAAATCCCTTCAGTCAATAATTTATCTTTGCTTTTTATCATACCTTTATGTATGAAAGCAATTTGCCTAAATGATTAAAATGTCTTAATTCATAGAATAATTTTTATGATAATTATATATTAACATAGCTATATCAATATTTCAGCAAAATATGCATGAATCACTTTATTTCTAGAAATAATGATGCTTTAAGTTATGAGGAAGTTATCAGTTTCCTTTAATTTAATAATATATTCCATAAATTATAGCTAAAACTTACAAAGCACAAGTATGCAAACCATTTCATAAAATAAAATGTTATTACAGAAAATTCCATTTAGAAACCATTTTCTGTCTTTCAGCATGTGTCTTAGATACAGGAATGTAACAAGGCATTCTTGTCATCATAGTACATCAAAAGGTTCTATTTGATGATTAAAAGATCTCAGAGAAAGAATTCTGGTAAAGTATTAGTAGATATGGAGATTTTAAAATTAATACACAATTGTAATTCTAATGAAAGTTAAACCTATATTTTACATTCCTGTTTTAGCTTATCCTGCTCACACAGGAGTTCCAAACTGGTGATTTGTGGGCCTAATACAGCCCCATAGAGATGTTTTGTTCAGTCAACATTTTTCCAAAATTCGTACACGACTGTCTTTAGACAATGACTGTTCTCACCTACTTGACCACAGTCTCCACTGTTTTCTACTACACACTTGGCCTACCTGGCTTCTATGTATAATCAAGCCAAGTAACGGTATGAAATAGAAGCATTCGGATTTTATTTTGTTGCAAAACAGTCACTTTTCATACCCAGTCTAAGAGCAGCTTTTGGACTAAGGGATGACATACCTCTTAAATTTAAATTTTAAAAATGTAAAAATATTTTAGACTAAATCCTGTAATACCTGAGGTTTGTTAGTACTTTAAGGTTTAGAAATGGTTCCCCATACTGATCTCACTGAATTAAACAAGGGCCAGATTCTAACAGTATAACAATACCCAGGGAAGTAAGTTAGCTGTTTTGGGAAGGTACGTGAAACTTTCAAGGCCATGAAAACATCATTTGTTCACCAAAGCAGAAATTTACTGAGTGATGTGCCCAAGAGACAATGGTCACTTGCACCTTCGGGCCTCTACCAACTAGTGATGATTACTACATGGATAGGGAAGTATCCTGCTCTCTGGAGATGCTTCTGAGAAAATGTTTCTGCCTACCCTTTCTGTTTGTGCTTCTTAAAAATTAACACACTATAACTACCCCCCGCCCTACACACACTGATTCAAATAAAATCTAAGCAGGTCATGACTAAGTAAATAAACTGGAGTTTATTTCCCTCTTGTATTTGTTACAAATGCTTGTAATACTTGTATTACAAATACTGCAAACATTTCACGGTATAATTTTTGAAAGTGGTGTAAATTTTGAAAATATAATGATCTTGGCCACTGGGAAAGAATAAACTTGGTTTCCTCTGATTCTGTTCCACACAAATGATTATACTTCTCAATTTCAACCAGAGCCTAATAGGTGGTTGGCTGATGTTGAACCATTAATTTTGATGAGCATGTAGTTCAGAAAGTTCTCAGAATATACCCTGAATTTCCTCTGGTGAACTCCAGTTCTTAGTTCCAAGCTATTCTTAAAATTGCTAGACAAGTTCATGTCTTCTACTTCTTTTATAGCATCCAAATGCCTAATCTATTATGATGCATTCAGTAGCTGCTTAATAAATACTTGTTGGATTAATTAGTATAAACTTAATATGCACTTAGGCAGATGCATTAATATGAACTCTGAGTTTGGAAACATATTATGCCAAGCTCTTCCCAGCTAATTAAGAAATGTTGAATTGTTACATAATAACTATTTTGTCTATCCATTTATTTGGGAAACTCTGCAATTTTAAGAAAAATTCATAGTTTGCTAATGTTATTCATTTTGCAAAATAATGAAGTCAGAAATACAAAACTTCATTAAGCCTTTCAGGAAATGTTGGACAGTGGCATGGGCTTTTGTCTCATCACAAAGGTGATCAGAATTTGGAGCAGAGAGATTAATCATGTTCCAGGGCCAAATATCTCTCTAGGCTTTTGGAAACCTATTAAAATAAATGACCCCCTACAGTCTATATGGTTTTATAAAAAGAACTGCTGTAATAATAATAATAATAAACCATTATTCTACATATACATTACCATTTCTTAGAAAGGATCTCCGTGATTGTCCTCCATTGAGAGGAGGTAAGGTCTTCTTTTCCTGGCTGACAAATGTATCCCACTTCACTTTGTCACAGCCGCCTAATTCCTTGACTTTCTGTAAACAACTTTCCAAGTACTCTATGGGGTCTTCTGGCTTAGAACACATCAGTCCATTCAGAAGGCTCTGGAATACAACAAAATATGCCCGTATGAAATAGGTGTTGAAACCACCTTTGTTAAAATAGTTCTATGACTCATCTTTGAACTCTGGGTTGCTTTTGTTCTTTGCATTTATTTTTTTAACGAACAATTAGAGGTGGAATCATGATCTGCTGAGTAATTAAGATAACCCCTAAATTTTTTTTTTCAGATTTTATTTACTTGTTTATTTATTTGACAGAGAGAGAGAGAGATCACAAGTAGGCAGAGAAGCAGGCAGAGGGAGAGGGGGAAGCAGGCTCCCCACTGAGCAGAGAGCCCAATGCAGGGTTCGATCCCAGGACTCTGGGACCATGACCTGAGCCAAAGGCAGAGGCTGAACCCACTGAGCCACCCAGGCGCCCCAAGATAACCCCTAAATTCTTGACCATTAGTGTTCAGCTCAGCATTCTTTGCCTTTTACACAATTCAGACAACAACATTGTTTAAAATGGAGGCACCCTATCACAGTGAGATAAAGTGCAATGTGTAAAAATGCTCAGTCATTACTTGTCTTATTCCTACCCATTCTTAAAGCTTCCAAGCCTTGGTTTCTTCATTTGTGAAATGGAGTTCTACCTACCTCCAAGAATTTTTAAGGATTAAAAATATAATATTTGTAAAGTGCATATTGAGGGCCTGGAGCATAGTAAATACTCAATAGATGTTGGTGGTTTTAATATTATTATGATCAGGAAGCCTTCTCTGAGCGCCCAGGTTGGCTTGTGGACCTCTTCCTGGCATTCCATATTACCCAGAAAAAAAGTTTTACCTGTCATTTATACTGAAACCATCAATTTATGTTTTGGTCTCATTTTCTAAGCTATAAACTCTTCAACAACATGGAGTAGGTCTTTTTTATTTTTCAGTCTCTAGCCCCTGACATTGTCCCTGGCACATGGTAGGGGCACATTGGACTGTTTTCTAATTGGGAAAAAAAATTTATTCAAAACATAGTCTAACACTTTAAAAAATGCTATTTGATATATAATAGATCACCACAATATCCATTGAGGTTACAGAGGAAAACCTGGTGTCCAATATGTCACATGTAGTAGTTTCTAAAAATGCCACAAACTTGGAAATGATGACTCCTGGGAACTGGACTGATGTGCAAAATATTTTCCTTTACAGTATTTCACGGAAAAAGCATAGAGGAATATTATCACTAATATACATTATTAATGTACAACACACACACATCCTTTGAAAGACTGACATCTTTGCTAAATAAAGTATTTTATTTTCAAATTATTCTTGTGCAATTTGCTCAAAAGTGGTATGTAGTTCTTTCCAGGTACATTTGTTCTCTCAAATACCAAATTGTCAGAGTGCTGGGAGGAGTTCAACTGCAGAGGGAGAGGAAAAAACTAATCTGAGCATCCACATTCCATTTGTGTGTCAAGACCTGTGTTATATATACACAGACACATGCTGACACATACACAGACACACACATTGTGTTTAACTCCTCACATTTCTATGTTAATATAGTTAACTGTGGCTGTGCTTCCTCTGTTTCTTTGTATGCCTTAGCTCACCCAATGCACTCTTGGCCCTATGTGGTATTATTACCCCCATTTTATCGATTAGGAAACCATGGCTCAGAGATGTTAATGAGTTGATCAAGGTTATCCAGCTGGAAACTTGTAAGCCAAGGATTCCAATTCAGTGTTTCTGATTCCAAAACCTACATATTCCTCTCTCTATGTCTTGCAAAAATATGATATGGGATAAAAAGAAAATGCTAGATTATCTGTGCCCCATACATAATCCAACTACAATATGAAACACTCATGGTCTCTCTTTTTAAAAAATCCCTATTCTTGCCAAAAATGAGTGAACATACTTAATGAAAAAAAAATTTTTTTTACTGGAAAATATACATCTCCAGCCTCCCTAAAGAAATCTGATTCCCCAAAGGGTACTGATTTTAGAGGGTAACAGTTCCACTCCTTCGTGGATAATTTTAACCCTTCCCTCTTAATAATCAGCCACCATCAGGGATCCAAGAAAACCAAGAGACATTATTATTCTGAGTTAATCCTTTAAGAACTTGAATAATCTAATTTGACTTTCATTAGAATTCAAATTAATTGCTAAATCTCTGTCCTAAGGTATAGTAATATAAGATCAATACATACACCCTAAGGTTACCTAAAGTTAAGAAATCATGACAGTATCAGGGGAAAGTGTTTTTTATTTTAAACATTTACTCTAAAAATGGAAGCACATTTCAAACTTGAACCTACCATAGATATCCTGTTTAGTACATGTGATGTTTCAAGTCAGGAGAAAATCTGAAAAGGTCAATTATATACATCTAGTTGTCCGACAGTATATAGATTTAATAATCAATTGCTCCGTCTATAATGGTGTCTCAAGTCTACAGCTCAGGCAATGTTTCTGGTTTGATAGATACCTAATTGATAAACTGTATAGTTAGAAACTTCACATACCATTATTACTGGAGAAAATCCAGTTTGGAAACAAAGCATTTGGTTTTGCTGTCTATGTTTATTACATGGAGAACTGGTAGGTTTTACTTCTGTCTTGTGCTGGATAAAGCATAGATTCTTACTGGTGGGATGCAGTCTTTGGAGGTCCCCAGAAGTCTTTTCCATCTTCCAGTTGTCCAGGATTGCATTTAAGTACATTGTATTACTGCATTTCACCTAAGGGAGTAGACTTCCCTTTCTGGGTGTACACTATTTTTAAATGTCCCATTCATATGCAGAAAAACAAAACATAATACCTGAACAAAAATGCCAGCTATCACCTATCTGCATGCACAGTGTAGATTTTAATGAACAAACTATCAAAAATCTCTGTGGTTACCAAGGAGGAAAAACAGTACCTACATTTACAAAGAAAATAGACAACAATTTGCAATCAGGTGGCATTCCTGCAGATGTTTCTAATTATTCTTTTAGAAGTATAGAAATGAAATTTATCTCAGAATTAATATTTATGACAAAACCTTCCTAGTGTTTTTAACTCTTCTGCTCCATATTTATTTTTTGAAAATTAAAAAGAAAAAGGAAAACCCTTGAAGAATCCTACCCACCCCCGAGACCTGTCCTTATGCAACACCTCCCCATTCTTTTCAAACATGAGTAACACACTTGCTAGATTTGGGTTTCAAAACCAGGCTTGTGCTGTGTATGGTTTACCTGGAAATCTTGGCTTCAGACCAACCTGAAACCAGTGGCTTACAGAGGTGAGAAAAATATGAAGATCTGCAATTATGGTGGCCCATATTAAAGGCAATTTGGAAAAAAGGCAACAGATTCTTTTCCCAAATGGTGTTTTAAAATTCCTTTTAGCAGACCAAACCTCCAACAACTCATGACCCTTGGTTTACTGACTCAGTCTATAGTCTATCTATCTATCATCTTTTAGAAATGGGGGGGGTGGTTTTGCAGTGAATGGAATTCATCTGTCAGGGCTCCATCTATGAAGCTTGGCTCGCTTCCCTTTTTTGTTTGTTTTTGTTTTTAACCGAAAACACAAAAAGAACTCAGGAATATTCCAAAATTCAAATATAGAGAGAAGGAAAGGAAGCAAAAGGCTCCGAGACGTAGGCTGCGGTTTAGAACTAACAAGGTTCCTTTAGTTCATCCCTCAAGCCTCCTCTCCCACATTCCCAAGTGTTCCTTATCCCCTGGGACCCCGGTAGAGATGATGCTATAATGTGGTCCGAAGACAGAGCAACAGGAGTCACGCCCGCCGCGCGGCTCTCTCTCTGACTTGCTTTCTCTAGGTGGGATGGAGAAAGCTGGCGAAAGCTACAGTCCGGGAGGCGAGGAAGGAGAATGATCCCTTCCAAGGCAACGGAAAACGTGCTCGGGAGTTCATTCACCGAAAGCGCATAGCAGCGCTGGGCGCCTGCCACCCGGGAGATAGTGCTGCACTCGACGGGTTTGGATTTGTTTTTTGCATCTTCATCCCTCTCCTCCAAGCTATCCCCGCAGAAGGCTACTTCCGTCCACACTTCCCCTTCACTGCGGGGTCCTTGACCCTCCGCGCACGTAGGGGCTAGGGCTCTCTACCCCTCGGTTTCGAGTCCCTGCTCGCTCCTGAGCGCCAGCGTACCCACCTGGCCTGGCCCTCGCCCCTAGAAAGCGGGGCCGAGCGCCGCCAGCAGCCCACCCTGCATATCCGAGGGGTACGCTGGGGGGCAACCTGCTTCCAGAGCCCTGCTGGAAGACTGAAACTTGATCTGCAAGGTTAGGGCTCCTGAGCCCAGCCATCGGACAAGGACCCCGGCCACCCGCTGGAAAGGCGACTACCCCGAGCAAGCGGGAAAGCGAGCTTCTGCAAGCCCCTTCACTTCCGTGCCCCGTATCTGCAAGGTGGGACGGGGACCCGCCTCCGCCTCCCCAGGCCCGGAGATGCTTTCCCCAGACCCCCCCGGCCGTCCATCAGCCCTAGCCCCCTACCTCGAAAAGCTGAGGGATTTCCCTCCGGGCCAGATACTCCTTGGCATCGTTGGTGTTCATGGCTGTGCCGCGCGTGCCTTGGGGCACCGGCCGGGAGGTTCCTGGGCTGCGGCGACCTGGGCTGGGGCTGGCGGGGTCCGCACGGAGCACGGGAGCAGCCCTAGATCTCACGCGCAAACACTCCCACGCTCAGCTCTGCCAGCCCAGGCCAGTGCCCCCCTCCGCCTGTCCCCGGGGCCTGTGGTCTCTGCGCTCCCGCCGCCCCCGCCTCGCCGCTGGTCGCTGCGCTGGAGCTGCGGGCTCGGAGCAGCGGCGGCTTCCCGGGCTCCCAGGCAGTGCGGCCGCCAGAGAAGGGCGGAGGGAGCGGAGGAGGGAGGGTAGCGCGGCGGCCGCTAGGCAGCAGTCCGCTCGCCTCTCCCACTCAGCGCGCCGCGCTCTGCGCCTCCTGGAGCCGGGTCTGCGGCGGCGGCCAGTCACGCTGCGCGGGCGGGCACAGGGTGCGGGGGTGGGGACGGGCGCGCGCGGGGGGCTCGCAGTCACACCCCTCCGAGTCACACCACCGCCCGGGCGCGGCGCTGACCTGCGCGCGCCGCGGGGGGACGCGGCAACCTGGGACCAGGTGGCCAAAGGAAGAATCGGGGGCTCTAGGAACCTGCCCCCCAAGCCTCCTCTCCGCATCCCTCCCCCCAACGACAGTTACTCCTGCATCCCCATGGAGCTCCCGGGAAGAAACCTAATTGTTACAGAATTTGTCATTTATGGCTAAGGTTACCGATCTTTCATCAAAGGGAGCTGGAGGTAAGAAGAGGGGATTCATACGGTGGAATCCGTCCTTTTAAGATAATTTTTAGATCTTGGGTATGTCTATCCTTCAGGAAAGTTTTGCTAGCTGCTTTCTAATTTTTTTCCCTGTCAGAGTCACAAATCCTCACAGATTTCAAGGTATGGCCTTGGAGGGAGGCTGAAATCTTGTTAATAGAAGGATTAGTAAGTAGGCAACTAGTTAACTAACCCCCACAGAGAGGAATGGGAAGGTGGAGGAGAGAAGTGGGTGGTGGTGGTGGTGGTGGAGAGCTGGAGACCGCTTAAATTGGAAATGTGCTTGGCAGGAGGCGTGGGCGCCATCATTAATTGGATCGGAAGGGTGTGCAGTCAGTGGGCCGTGGGCCGTCAGGGAACCCAGGGACTGGATGGTGCACTAAGGCAGCCATGAGTAAAGAATCTTCCTGTTAAACACGCCATTATCAAGGTATAGCCATCCTCCGCCTAGCTCCCAAGATGACTCATTTCCCCCATTAAGATGTCTTTTCATTGTTTGAAAGATGGTCCCGGCCACCCTAAGAATATGACCTCTAACTGTGTGCGAGGCCTGACACTGTGGGAGGGTGTGTGAGAGAGAAGGTGGCCCTGATGGCTACTGACACCTGCCAGGGAGAGAAGCAACACTGCAACTGTGTTCCAAAACCCATGTCTGAATGTCCCTTTCATGTTCATCTTTGCAGATCTTCCCTTGATTCTATTTCTTGTCACACAAGCAACTGCTATGGCAGCCTTAACTATAGCTACCATTTTGTTTTACCCAAGGGAGGGAACTCAAGAATTCATTGAGTCTTGTAAAGTAAATGAAGTTTTCTGAACACTTGTGAAACCATGCGTCATATGGTAGCCTTAAATGAGGCAGGTGTTCCATTCCAGTTCCACAGAAATTGATTTCTGCCCTCAGAATATGCCACATAATTTACAATCCCAGCTTTTGACATTCTTTACCTTATTTGAGAGCAAGTTATGGCCGTAGTTAAGCATTGTTCCTTCTCTCTGCAACAGTACTTGAAAAGTACCAGGATCCATGGCATGCAGCCTACTTTGTGAGCAAGCACAGCTGAGGTTAAACGCCCAGGATTCAAGAGGCCACTTTCTGCAAGACCTTTCAAGGTCACCCTTTATAGAGAGAAATCTGACAGAGCACGGCTCACATCTTCTTTCTTGGAGAGGAATGTAACCTAAATGGATATCTAATTCTAAATGCACCTTAGTGTAGCCTGGCAAGAATGGCAACTTCCTTATACGAAGAACAGTGGATAAGAAAGCCTGCATTGCACAAAATAGTCTAGAGAGTCTGAAAAAATCTAGTCCAGGCATACTTCAGAGATATTGCAGGTTTGGTTCTAGGCCAACACAATAAAGCGAGTATTGCAATAAAGCAAGTCAAATGACTTCTTTGGTTTCCTAGTGTGTGTAAAAGTTTATGTTTATGCATATTGAAGTGTACAACAGCATTATGTCTAAAAACTACCCTACATATCTTAATTAAGAAATACCTTGTTGCTAAAAATACTAACCATCTTCTGAGCTTTCAGTTAGTTGTAATCACAGGTCACAGATCACCATAACAAATATAATAATGGCAAAGTTTGAAATATTGCAAGAATTGCCCAAAAGATGACAGAGACATGAAGTGAGCAAATGCTGTGGAAAAATGGCTCCAATAGACTTGCTCAACAACCGGGTTGTCACAAATATTCAATTTTTAAAGAGCACAATATATGCAAAGCACTAGAAAGCAAGGTATGCCTGTAAAGCAGTAAAATGAGGTATGCCTGTAACTGGAGGTATGGCAAATTTTCAGGTAGCCTTATGCATGACAATCAGTGCTTTTTGGCATATTCCTGATGTATGAAAGGCAAGATATTCATAATTACTTTTGCAAAGGAAGTTGTGGCTAGGTAGAGAAAGGCTGTATGAGGGAAGGGCAATGCTTAAAATCCAGGCTGGTGGTTTGGAAGAGGGGGAGGAGAAAGGGCAAGGAACAACAAACACATGCTGGCCATGGGAAAGCTTTCATATCATTGCCTGATGTGAAATTCTAAGGATAGCATATAAAAGGTCCTCGCTGACTTGAGGATGCAGCCGTGCAAGCACTAACCAATCGAGATGATCAGTGCATGTCTAGTGTCACCAGATAGAATGTCTTCTGCTCCCACAGTGGAAGAGTGTGCTAGATTTTGAGATATAGCAGGGAATAAGACAGACATGATTGCTGCTGTCAAGGAACTTCCATTCAGCTGGAGAGTGTCTGTATGAAGTACAGATGGAAAATAAGAAACTTTTGTATATCTCATATACAATGTGTATATCTTGGGCCATTTGTAAATATTTCATTTACCCGGGGTGGGGGGAGAACCCTGAATGTGTAAGACCTACCATATCCTTGTATATTGTCCTAGTAAATGTGCCTCTTGTTTACATGTATTCGTGTTAGGTCTTCCTGTGGCTTTTACCTTTTTGTAAATATACGCACTGGTCTGTGAAATCTGGGGTAAACGCTGGCTGAAATAACAATTCTTTAGCGAAAGCAGAATTTCCCTATGCTCCATTTCTTCTCCCCACCCTGGCTGGTAACTGAGCCAGACATTTGGATTCTGGATTTTAAAGATGGCTGAGAACTCCTAAATTACAGGAAGTTAGAGGTAAGAGATTAAAAACTCTTCCATAATGTCTGAAAGCATTAGGAAAATTTCCAAGTATGTAATATATATAAGAGAAAGAATAGCTAAGATTTGGAAAAATCCTATTTATTTATCTATTCATCAAGCAATGCATTCATTCATTAAATAATTATAAAATAACCTTTTATATTCCAGACTTGTCACTGGAGCTGGGAATATAAAGAGCAAGACTCAAGAGGTTCATTGTTTGGTAGAGACAGATGGACTTGTGATAATTAAGTATAGATCATTATAAACATTTGTTTTAGCAATATGATAGAAGTAGATATGTGGAGGAAGATTGTTATGATGGGTACATGAAGGTACATGACTCATAGAAATATGTATATGGTAAAAAGCACTCAGAAGGTTTTAAAAATAGACTTTCTTTTGATATTTCTTCACTACCTTTTAAAAATGTTTTTCAGCTGTTTTTTCTTCCATTTTTTCCAGATACATAGATTTTCAGAAACATTGTCGTAACTGTAATTACATACATTTTCAGACTTTGTATAGTGATCTTTTAAAATGGCTTTATAAGTGTTCATCTAGAAGCTTTGAAACAGCAACTTATGTTAATTATGTTGATAATTTATGATATTAAAAGAATGAATTACAAATCATACTACATTAAGAGTAAGAATGTTTATTCCTCAAAGACACCATTAAGAAAACAAAAGGCACTTTATTGAATAGGAAGATATATTTATAATACATACATCCAATAAAGGACTCAAATATATAAAGAACTTTTACTACTCAGTAAGAAAAAGACAATCCAGTAGAGAAATGGACAAAAGATTTGGGCAGACACTTCAAAAAGAGGCTCTCCAAATCCAACTTCAAATGATCAATAATATGTGAAAAGTAGTGATTTCATTAGTCATCAAAAATCTGCAAATTAAACAATGTGATATCATTATATACTGACAAGAATGGTTAAATTAAAAAAAAATAAATACCAATGGTAATGAGGCTGTGAGGTAATGAGAACTCACACTCCTGGGGAGATAGAAACTTGTGCAACCACTTTGGAAAATTGTTTGAAAATAACTATTAGAGCTAAACATACATATTTTTGTGTTCACCAAAAGTTATGTATTAGAATCTTCATAGAAACATTATTCTTAATAGCTCCAAACTGGAAACTACTCCAGTGCTCACCAACAGTAGAACACAAATTATGTTACATTCACAAAATGGAATACAATGAGCAATGAGAATCAACAGTCTACAGCAATATGTAACAGTATGGACAGGTCTCACAAACATAATATTGAGTAAGCACCAGACACAAAATGTACAAACTATTTGGTTTCATTTCTATAAAGTAAAAAAACAGACAAAACTAATCTAGGCATTAGAAGTCAGGACTATGGTTCCCCATGCCGGAGTGAAGTGATGGGGAGAGCGCTCAAGGACGGCTTGGGGGAATAGTGCTCATATTCTGCTCCTTGATTTGGGAGCAGGTTATATGGGTATGCTCGTCTGTCCTGTATAAATAGACGTGCAGTTGTGTGTACGTATATTATCCTTCAGAAAAGAGATATATTAAAAAGTACGAGAAAGGGGGCGCCTGGGTGGCTCAGTGGGTTAAGGCCTCTGCCTTCGGCTCAGGTCATGATCCCGGGGTTCTGGGATCGAGCCCCGCATCGGGCTCTCTGCTCTGCAGGGAGCCTGCTTCCTCTTCTCTCTCTCTGCCTGCCTCTCTGCCTACTTGTGATCTCTGTCTATCAAATAAATAAATAAAATATTTTAAAAAA